CATCGATGGAATTTTTTGATGTATCCCCACCACTTATTGTTCTTTAGACTTCTACGTCTCATTCTCTTCTCTTTCTAACTCTGTCATCTTCATAATTCATATTACAAATATATTATTCTCTTTCTTTTTATATATTCACATTATAACATTATTTTCTATAAAACTATTCATTTTTTGTCCACTCATGAAATATATAACAGCTTACAGTTCACATCAAGATAAAGTAGAAATTATAATGTGCTAAATGATGTGTTATCGTAGGATTGATATATTTTAGGTGTTGATTAAACCAATATCTTATTCAATTGGATTAATGGAGTAGGTATACCACTCAATATTTTAAAATTAATATTATCTTTCGCATATTTTTCATTTTATAGTAAATCTTGTCATAAAAAAAATACAAAAATGTACTACTTTTTTATAATTTATGACTGTTTTGTATAAGTTTAAACAATAGACAAAGTCTATTTGCATGATAAAAATAAAATAGAAATTTACTTTTAATATTAGTTAATATTATTATTGTATTGATTAAATTTTGATGTATCATTATTATATATATGAGACATGATTTTCTTACACTAATATAAGTATAAAAATCTTCACATTCAATCTGAATTTTTCATTTAACTTAAATTTAACAGGTTATAATTTAATATTTCACTTACTGTTAGATTTAAGTTAAGTAAAAAACTTAAATTGAGTGTAAGAAGATCTTTCGTGTATATATTTTTATAATTAGTTAAATTTTCATATAGATAATTACAATTATATATGATTATAATTTAATGACTAATTTCATAAAAATTACATTATAGAAAAAACTGTTGATAGTGTAATATATGGTATAATTTACACTTATATAATTTGATATATATATATATATATATAATTATTAATAATTGAATTTTTTTTATTTATATTTTTACCTTTTATACTTTTATAGATATACGAACGTATTTTATGGATATTTACTAATTTAAAATAAAATAAAATAGGAGTTTTAAAATGTCGCAATTATAAGAACACTATTTTGAATTAAAAATATGATTATGTATTTCGTTAGCTTGCAACTATAATTGTTTTAGTAGTATAATAGTGTAAATAATTATTAAAACATAAATCAACAAGTAAAATCGAAAATTCCCATGCAAATAGGGTCATGTTATATTGAGTGTCCTTTAACGCTTAAGGAATAAAAAAAGCATTTAACGAAAATTTATTATTTAATATATTAAGAATTTTTAAATCTTTATTATTCGTCCTTTTTCTTTAAAATTGGCAAGTTCTCTTTGGTCAGCCAAAGAACATGGTTCTGTATTAGCATATGAGACATGACTAGTTTGGAGTTTGGACAAAAAGTTAAAATCGCAGGTTAAGTTTGGATAATTTTTGTTTTAATTATCTAAGAAAACAAAGTGTTCTAATTTGTCATTTATTTGAACAATTAAATGTAAAAGTCACACCATATGAAAAATATTTTGCACGAAAGTCTTTTATAAAAACAATGCCACCATTTAGCTTAGTATACAACAATAGTAATTAAGCTTTTAAAAAAAAATAAAATTAAGTAAGGTTAGTTATATACATCAAATAATGTCATTATTAATTCTGTCATAAATTTTGTCTATATTTAAATTATTGACTTCTGAGTGTAAATATTTCTTAATGGCTTATCTTCATCAGATCAATTCTTCTTATTGGTGGTTTTATAAATCTTCTTCAAAGATGTTCAAATTACTCAAGACGAGTTTTTATAATCCTGCCAAGTGATATATATATTTTTCTTCTCTAATATATGCTTTTCTAATTTTAATTTGTTTAATATACCTATTCATTCAACACACATTTTCATTTTTACAAATTCAATTTATTGTTTTGTTAACCTTTTTTTATCACCTACTATTTAGTTTCCTAATACATTGCAAGTTATATAACTATGCAATACGATTTTTCTTTGGGTTGAGGGTAACCTTTTCATTTTCCATTACACTCGAAGTACGTGCTTCTCCATTTCTTTCGTCACGCTGGAATTAGAAGGTTTATGTCTCTTTCTCTATTGTTGTGGTGTTTGGCAAGAAATTTAAATGTTGTTAACTTAATAATTCCAAAGGAGAGAAGAGAGTGAATTTTTCTAGAAGATAGATGAGATATGACAGAGTTTCAATAATTCATTGACGACATGCTCTTATAGTAATTGATATACCTTTTATTGGAATGCTATCACTAGAAATATAATTGATTGCTTGTTCATTGATTGGTCTATGAGGATTGGCTCATGGTATGGAAAAATCCATTTGAATAGGCATTAAATTGCAATGTTTCTAATCATTGCTCGGTTGTTACTGGACAACATGACTCCTATTAGGACCGTATAGGCCATTCAAATTCAATTACTATTGGCTACAATAACACAAATATTTCAATAAAATGGTGCAGCTATTTTGAGAGAATATGTCAATATAGAAAAAATGGAAAGATTTTGTGCTTAAAGAGAGGTCGAAGCTACTAAAATCTCATTTGATGTATTGGAATGAAGATTCTTTAGGTAATCCAAATTCCTCAATTAATTCATTAACGGAAGATATTGGTGAACTGGATGGTAAAGCTGATGAGGGAATAAAAGGAGATACATATTTGAAGAATTTCGAAAAAAAAAAAAATCTCATGAAAGAAAGTTTGTTATTATCTTAAACAGAGGTGAAACGGGGGAGGATTTTATTATGATTAAAGGCAAAAAAAAGTGAAGAATTTTTTGACTTCTTTGAATTTCATTCGAATAAATAAATTTTGGACAGTGCAAAATTTCAATAAATTTCAATTGAAGTGTATTTTTTATTTTTTATTACTATTATCTTTTAATTAAAATTAGAATTCAGTTTGATAAAAAGTTTACTTTTGATATTTTTTGTGTATTATATTATTGTAAAATATTGAGATGAAATTCTAATTTTGATAAAAATATAACAAAAAGTATTTATAGAATTGCACTGAATCACTTCCAACACTCTCTTGTTGGCATTTCGCTATCTCAGCTCTCTCTCAAAACCCATTGTCCCATATGCAATTTCCATGGAAACAACACGTATATGTAATTTGAAATCTGCAATTCTTTCATATCATTTTGATGAAAACTACATTTCATAACAGAATGAACTACATGAAGCCACGAAACGCAGAAATAGTTCAGCAGATAAATAGCTTATAATAATGACAAGAAATTGCGTGTTGAAGTGGTCATACTACTTCATTACTACGACGTTAAAGCTATCCTTTCGTTAATAATGTGTTTGATTTGTGTCGAATCCATTTCAAACGTAAATCTATTTTAATGTGATTTTAAGTGGTTTCTAAACATTAGTCTTAAGATGCATGATTGTTGGATAAATCATATAGATGTTTCGTTAACCCTACAATATTACATTACTTCTTATTTCTTAATACACATGACACTAGAAGTATGTTAACGTGGAGAACATTGTTATAGAATTTACTCTCCATTCCGTTACTGTAAACGAAAAAAATAATGTAGACTCGACATAGAGTAATGAAAAGTGACCAAAACATGAAAACACGCATAATTTGATTTGAATAAGTTAAATAAAATATTAATTTATTAACTTAGCAATTTTTTTAATGACAGATTAGGTATCCTTCTAGATATTTGGATTCATAACAATAATTTTATTAATTGAAGAAACCATTAGACATGAAATGTTGAATATATTGTTAAGTCTAAGTGAATAAATTAAATATTTCATCATTAATTCAAAATTCATTTTATAAAAAATTATAACACAAAAACCAATCAACAGAAAGTATTTTGGTTAAAGGGAAATTTTCATTTTCCATTGGGTTCAATTCAAAATTTCATATTCAATTAATAAAATGTCACATTTTACACTGATATATTGCATTGTTGCATATATATTTTTTTTTCACATAATAAGGGTGTTCTTTCGTTGCCTTTCTGTCCCCGGTGATCGATGCATTTCCTATACATGATTCATTTAGGTATGGTCTGTAATTGAAAGTTTAGAAATGGAGGGAAGTTGCCATCCTCATTGACATCATGAAAAAATTCAATACTAGATCTAGTAAATGACAAGATTTACCAGACAAAAGAGGACAGATTAGGGGGAAGGTGCAACTGAAATCAATCTTTGACATAAAATATTGTTTTCTCTCCCTTTTTATTAGAAAAAATTGTTGATAATTTAATATTGTTTCATCATAAACATTTTTAAAATAAAATATCTTAAACATAAATCACTTCAAAGATTTTATTTTATAAATTAAATTAATTTTAAAAAATTGCACCTAGACACAATGTCACTAACATTAATTAAGGTCTATATGAAAAAAATAGTTTGTTAATCGAATTAAACTCTAATTTTTCATACCCTAATTAAGCCAGAAAGACCATTTAAATATTTTTATTTTTGTTTAATAGCTTTTTAAATTCGTTTGAGAATAAAATTTCATATAAAAAGTATTTTTGAATTAAAATAATATAATATTTATAAAAAGTTAACATATGAAATATATAATAATATATTTTTTTATTTTAAAATCTATTAAAAATAAAAATATTTTCCTTCCTTCTTCTTTCCCTCCAAATACTAAATCTCCAACTTTTACTTCGTAATTCCATTCTTCTCCCCACCAATTGAGACAGATTCCTTGGATAAAAACACTTGTGGGACAATGCACGTGTATTTAAGAGTGTGTACACACAAGACTTGAATAGACTACCTTAAAGAAAAGGGAAAGGAATAATTTTCCAAGAAACTTAACTGAAGTTGACCCAAGTACAAAACCCTTGTCCCAGCCTGCCGAATTACCCTTTCTTTGTGTTCTTTGTGATCACATGGCATAGAATTTGAGTTATACCACTCATAGAAGATCGCGGTAGCTAGTTAGGTAGCTAGGAAGAAGACGAAGCAAAAGACCAGTGAGTGAGTCAAATTCAAATTGGAATCATCCAAAAGTGGGATATGGAAGGAGAGAGAGGTGGTGCTCCCAATTATGAGCTTCAAGTTTCATTCACCAACACCCCACAAGCTATCCACGAAATGGGTTTTGTTCAATTTGAAGAAAACCATATTCTTGGATTCTTGTCACCCTCTTCACAATCTCAATCTTCTCAGCTCTCTCAATCCTTAAACTGTGTCACAACCACCACAACCGCCACAACCATCGGATTCATGAGTCATAACGAACTTGTCACCAAAACTTGGAATAACGACCAGGTGGTTATTCACTTTGCAAAATCTCCATAATTTAAAGATCTAATAAAGTTATCTAATCTTCACCCTTATTATGATTAGTTATGAATTTTATTTACTTTTGGGTTTTACTTTTTTGTGTCCTTTTCGATTTTAGGGTATTCATTCCATCACTTTTCTTAAAAAGATCGATTTTAATTGCTTATGGTATTTTAGGTAGGGACTCTGGATCCAAAAGCTGTCAATGATGAAAATTGCACTGGAAATGCTAGTGATGGCAATAACAACGCTTGGTATCCTTCTTCCAACTTCGGTTTCATTACACCATTTGAAATTTTTGTTTTTTTCTCTCTCATGCTCTTACCCTCTCTCTTGGAGTGCATGCACGTAAATAGTTATTTATTTATATACCCAATTAAAGAGATATATTCTTTAGGCATCAGAGCAGAATCTGAAGGTCTCCAACCTATATATGGAAGGGATTGCTTCTTTTGTCTCTTGGGTTATGAGGAGCAATAGACTTTGATGACTCAAAAGTCTTGATACTCATTGATTCTCGAATCCACTTGTGCATCACTGGCTTCACATGTTCTCTCTCACAGATCTCACTTGTCTATTTTTATTTCTATATTTTTATTTTAAGGCTTAATTGTTTGTTCTAATTTAAGAAATGTGATTAACGGGGATGAAGTTGGTGGATAATTAATGTTAATTTTGGAAGTTAATAATGTTATATATTGTACATGTTGTGGTAGGTGGAGGAGCGTAGCTACGGAGAAGAGCAAGGTGAAAATAAGGAGGAAGCTTAGAGAACCAAGGTTTTGTTTCCAAACAAGAAGCGATGTGGATGTGCTTGATGATGGTTACAAATGGAGGAAATATGGCCAGAAAGTTGTCAAGAATAGCCTTCATCCGAGGTAATCCTTACACTTTGATTGACCATTTCCTTTATTTGCTCAATATGGTAAACACTATTTTAAGGGCAAAAATGTTTTATTACTATATATCGCATAGAAGTAGAAAATTTTAACTGTCTCCACAATTTTTAAGGACAAAACTGAAAGCTGCACTTGATTTGGATAAAAGGAAGCCATAATAACTAGGATTTGAACTGAACAATTCTGCTCAACTTTCCATTCAAATGACATTCACAAAATAATACTAATTACAAAACATTCGAGATGTGAGGGTGAAAAGAAAATTATGATTAAACTATATACTTTTGGTGTGTAAAATTATCTATCAAAAGCAAATGTGTTTTGTTGTTGAGTACACTGGCTACATCACAGGCATTATACCCGGAGGAATGAAGGTAAACTGTCTCTTTTTGGGAAAAAGTGTGTCGGTAGTGAATAATTCAATCAAGTAGTCACAAGTCACAAGATTTATTGGTATCAGTCATCTTAGATTTTTCAAAGAAAAAACAGATACACGAACATTTAATAACACGCTGAGACAAAAGTTGAAGAGGGAAACCACAGCGTATTGAAGAAGTAGAATCAAGGAATAATTCATCATTTCTTTAATACTGAATAAAACGCTGAAAATATAATATTGTTGGTGCATATGGAGCCTTAGGCCTAACTTCAAATCAAATATTGAGGGGGGAAGAAAAGATACATCACCGAGTATATTTGGTGGGCTATTATTAGAGTTTTGACAATAAGGTGCACTATAGGGTCCCCTCTTTCGTACTGTATTTTAAAATCATCCAATTTGTCATGGTATTTCTATGACAAACTTCTCCACGTATTCATCCATCTCTGAAAAAGGTTGCACATGAACTTCAAGTTTTTCTTATAGTAACACAATCACTTATATATCTAAGCTTTTTCAAATCCTATTTATGCTTAAGCAACAATATTAAAATCTTATATTTATATTCATACAATAAACCTTCCAATCATATTTTAATTGTTTATACTGCATTGCTTCATTTTTTTAGTTTAATTTGCTATTATTAGACATATATACCATTATATTATTTTTACCCTTTTATGTAGTTAATACATTAATTCCACATGCATACGCTTAACGCAATTTTATACATATGATGAAAACATATCATCTATCACTCTATGTTCTTCTTTTGTCACTTCTTAAGGGAAAGTAATCAGCAAAATAAGATGTGGAGTTTCCGATCCCCCAACTCCCACCCTTTCCATCAATTGACACAATATAAGTTTTATATATGGTGATAAAATTTTAATTAGCTAATCACAATTGACATAATATATTATAGAAAATGTTAAGTAATACATAGGATAAGAAGCTGATAAAGTATAACGCATTTATTTTTTTTCAACATCATCATAAAAGATTTTACCCAAGTTTTATATATCCTGAAAGAAAAGGGAAAAAAGAGTTATTGTCATGTGTGTTAATGCTACTATGGGTGAAAGCTAGGGATAGAGTAAGTTGTGCAAGAGGAGCAAGTTGGTTCCGACATCACTCACAATAACCGTAGAATGAAAAAAGTTTTCTAGTTGTGACTGGACCAGTTGAAACATAATGGGATCTTTCTAAAATGTCCTCAAAATTGGAGACACGTTTTAAGATTTGATATGGGAGGTAAATAGATTATACGGACATTATACCCACGCAATGAAATTTAACCCCAATCATTTATTAGGTCGGAATATTAGGATATTAATTCAATCAACGAATTATTACTCTAATCTATGGAATTATATAGAGAGAGCATATATAATACATGTAATACTAGGAATATTATACTTAAATTATAATTGAGATATTGTGATTGATGTTATTTCAGTTAACCATTAAGTTATAGATTTAACCTTCATTCATGAAATTTTGAATTAATAATTTTAAAACTAGTTCAATTCATCGACCCTAAATAGGTTCAAGCAAGTTTTAAGTTGGTTTAATTTTGTAGTCGATCTACTAGTTTGTTTGTTTTTTGACTGGTTACCAAGACAGTTTAACGATGAAAAACCAGATTGATTGATTCAAGTTTTAATTATATAAAATTATGCATTAAATGCACCCGTTTGCAAGAGATGCAACTATAAAGTAATATAAAATTATTGATGGAAAAATTATTAAATGTCTTAATGCTTAATTAGATTATCATTTCACCTTTGTTCAATTTCAAATTTAATTACTGACAAAGTTTAGCACAGTTGATATATAGTTAAATCTCTTAAATATGTTATTAGAGATTTAATTTATCATCATGTGTATAAAAAAATTCAAACAAAATAATTTTCAATTATCGGTTAGGAATAGTTTTGTTATTCACAAAAGAAAAAAAAAAAAACAATATTTTTCTAAAGTATATAAAAGGTATACTCTAGAACATAAACTGTACAATTTTAACTGCTAGAAAAAGAATTCAAAAGCTGAGAATTTAATATCATAATTTAGTCTACATGTATTTATATTTAATGCTAATTTTAGCTATTAATTTTCTAATTAATAATTGTAATTGCATTAATAGTTAGAACTTTAGGAAAAATCCTATTAATTAGTTCATATCCATGGATATTATTAGATTGGTCTCTATACCCTTTTCAGTTATATATAATATATAAACTAAATCTTGGAGCATCATAAGAGCAAATCTCTGCAAAGACGAAATGCTTCTTATGGTTATGGATATAAATTTCTTGCTTATTACTTTCAAAGCCCAATATGTGATTTCTCAAAGATTTTGATTGAAACTGATTACGTGAATGATACATTGAATTTGTTCAATTGACTCGTAAAAGTTAAATATCAAAACTGAGAAAGTTCAGAAGTATTCTGAATGTTTAGTTTAACAAAAAACTAAAGTTTGTTTTTTGATTTTGATCTTAATATCTGATCATATTCTAGTCGTAAGGAAGAAAATGGGTTCTGGACCCTGGTTCTAAACTTTTAAGTTGGAATAGCCATCTATGATTGATTCTTGCGTTAGATTGTGTTTGAGGGCAGGTGCAATGCAAAGAGGGGTCATGGTCCACCAATTGGAAACTTTCCTTGCAGTCTTTGAAATTTCTATTTATCTAGGTATACCAATTTTGGCACTCTAAAACGAATTAAATGTTCATTTTTATCTAATATAGGATTGGATAACTTATTTTATATTAAAAATGTTATAATGTGACATGGACAGATTTAAAATATGTTTGGACGTGGTTATTTTTAAAGATTATAACATGATTGATAAAAAAACAACTTTAATTTACTATTTAAATGTTTGATAATTTAAATTATGACATTGTCAATAAAAGAAATGAATTTTTATAATAAAAATTAGATATTTTGATTAAAAACAATATATTATAACTAAGAAAAAAACTTGACATCTCTTTTTCTGTATCTTATATAATGATAAAGATTACATTTGTGTTAACACCGTGTATGGCCTTTTTAAATTATTTTCAGCCTTTTAGAAACACACAGACGAACGAAGCTCAAAATTTGCTGGGTATATGAGTGTCCTAAAACATTTAAAATTTCAAACACTGTCTTTGCATTTCAGTTTTATTTTTTTATTTTTTATTTTCTTAAAAACATGAGTTTATCCCTCTTAAAAATATGATATTTTGCCCTCCCAGTGAGTATTCTTCTAGCTCTGTCCCTTGCAGGTAAGTATCTTTTGCATTCTCTAGATGTAACCATAGAGAATTGAAAAACAATTAAGAAACAAACATAAAACTCATTGTCACGTCCGAAGAGAATCAATGCTTTGGAAAATCTGTATCTTAACGAGTAATATTAATAATTTATTTTTCCTTGGCCTAACAACACATTAGCACCTTTAATTTTTTGGTTGGAAATAAAACCATTATCAACATAATAGAACACTGGTTTTCATGAAAACTACTGTAAGTATGATGAAATTTTAAGTAACTTAAACCGAAGAAGACATCATAATTTAAAAATAGGAAAATTTTATATTGTAACCAGTAGATTTGACCCGAAACAAAAACATATATGTGTATCTTAATGTTGCGTGCATGGGAAGGGAAAGTTAAATAGTTTTACTAGAGGAACTTCATGACACCAATGCAAAATTGTCAAAGGGGTATATCCATTATTATCATAAAACTAAGGAAGCAAGATATCTGTTACATATCATCATTACAAGATTGCACTTAAAGATATGTACTTAGAAGTGCAATTAGGAAGATGGAAGTTAATGAAATGACTTCAGGAACAAAGGTTCATGAACTGGGTGCACGGAAGTTTTCGAATATGATGATGGGACATAGCTGAGATTAACATGTATTGTTTAACAACCGATAATTTATATCATAAACTGATGCAGTACCTAACTTGATCACCAAATTTTTTGAAAATAGAGGTATTGGACTTGGAGAAGTTTGTTTATCAATAAAAGAAATTTGTTTGACTATATCCATATCAAAGAAAAAAAAAATATTTTAAAATCACTTGTTTAGTTATACTAGGATTAGTTTGAGCTTTGAATGCCTGTGATGAGTTATTTTTTTCTTACTTTTGTTAAAATCTCAAAGGTTTAGGATAGGAATGTATCCTATCTAACAAAAAAATCTTATATAATTTACACCTATATTGTAAAACTATATTACTATATAGTAAGTCACACTTAATTATGTATATATATATATATATATATATATATCATATTATTTTCATAATTATATATAATAACTTTATGAAATTTAAATATTTGTAGGTATGCTATATAAAATTTAATATTTATTTATATTTAAAAATATATAACACATTAAAATAAATTAATGTGATGATATACTTATTAATTTTATTTTTTTATAAAATTTTATTAAATTTAATTTTATAAGAAAATTTAAACTAATAGTTGAATTAATTAATTTAATATTTATTTAAATTATTAAATAGTGTAAAAATTCAATTTTATATTGAGTGTCAATTTTGAATATATATTTGAGTTATATATGAAAAAATTAACATCATAAAATGGATCAACAATGTCAAACTTATGAGTCAGTTATTTTTTTTAAAGTTTGGCTATTGATTTTTTTAATTTAATAGTTTAAGTTAGCTCATTAGTTAAGCAACGAAAGTGCATGACATTTATTATAAAAAAATATTGAAATTAAATTTTTATGAAGAGAGAAATCATGACTTCATTACTAATTCTTTATTTATTTATAATGATCAAATAACATATTAAAATATTTAGTTATTTTTATGTGAAATTATCATGAAAAAATAATATAAATTTTAAAAATAATGCTTAAATGAATAAGAATTGAACATGTTAAACACAATATGATTTTATTTTTGAATTAATTATTTTTCATTAGAATGATAAAATTTTCTGTATTTAGAAAGTTAATATTGTGAAAAAGAAATCTACACACACATGAAAGTCTTACATGTTCATTAAATAATCATACGATCAATTAATTTTCTAAAAAATATATTATCTAATAATTTTAAATGATAAATATGTTAGATTAATGTCAAATGATAAATACATTTTTTATTTTATATAAACTTTGATATTTTATTAATTAAATTTTGAGCAAAGTAATGCATAAAATAATTTTATTATTGAAAATTTTGAGTGAAAAGGACAAAAAATTGAAGGTTTGAAGTTGAAAAGAATAAATAAACATATCAAATTTGTTTAATTTTAAAAATGTAAGTATTTAATTTAGCTGCAAAAATTAAATATAAAAGATGTAATTACACAGTCAAAATTACAGAAAATATAAATGCAATTAAACTTAAAACAATATAAAAATAAGATGACTTGAAAGGTTAAATAAACTCTTCTTTTAAAGGCCTAAGTCTCAGCCTACTTAAGTAAATAATTTCCTTAAAAATTTAAGCTTAACTTACCAAATACCCTATGTTAAAAACCAAAATAAGTCGAAAACATATTAGGTTGTATAACTTATAAACACATCACCCAATTATTTCCCATACATTTGTATTTGTTTAAAAAGAAAAAAAAATCACGTCAAATTTAAATTAACTTCAAGAGAAATTAATGTAATTTTCTCAATATTTATCTAAATTCATGATTTTTGTCCTTTCATAATTTATCATACATTGACAAGATATAAGGCTCTTTTGAAGATGGCAACTGAAAGCATAATTTAAATGTATGTTTGAGACTTCAACATCTAAAAATAATTTAAAAAATGTTCAATGTTTTAATATCTGAAGATATAAAAATATATTTAGTTTTTATTTATTAATCGTGTTATGTAGGATTGCTAATATCAGCGACAACTAATTATATGGAGTGTTGTGATGGTCATCATCAAGGATCTATAGTCTAAATAAAACACTACTTTGATGTTTCTCCATTTACTCTAATGTTTTACTGATCTTATTATTTTTGGATATGGCAGAAGTTATTACCGATGCACCCACAGCAACTGTAGGGTGAAGAAAAGAGTGGAAAGACTCTCAGAAGACTGTCGTATGGTGATAACCACATACGAAGGAAGACACAATCATTCCCCTTGCGACGACTCCAATTCATCTGAACATGAATGCTTTACCTCTTTCTAGTAGTTTAACTTGTTAGAATTGATGTCGTTTGATTATAATGATCAACATGTACTTAATTATCAACTTAATTAAGGCACTTTGATAAATAGATTGTCATCATGTACTTATATTAAAGAGTTCAGTTTGCTTCAAAGATGAACCCCCAATCGTGTCATTTTTGGGAATGCTCTGTATCTATATATAAACTTGTTTCTTTCTCCATGCTTTTCGTATTCGAAGGGAAGGAACCATTACCCACAGAAAAGGTTTTATTGGTCCATGTATGGGTTTTTTCTTGTCAATTATAATTTGGATATTTTTTAAATAAGACAAGTAATGCACTTTTCCAATGTATATAAGATATCTTGATCTTTATAATACACTTGTTATATCCATCGAGCTTGAGGAAGAGAATGCTATGTTGGTATTGCACATGCATTACGTAAAGACTATAGCTATGGGCTTACGTTTAGAAAATTTTCACCTCATTTTAGGCTGTACTTTTGGGTTGGGATGGCCATTTAAATTGCCTCAATATGGGCCAATATAATTTTCAGGTTGGGCTTAGTTGAGCTTATTTAATAACTTTTTATTTTTGTAATATTCTTTTCTTTTTCTAACTACACTATTTTTAAAATGCAAAAAATCTAAATATATTAGTCAGTTTCAAAAATTAAAATTTAGAGTTATTGCTAGATATAAAAGATTGACTAATTCAATTGTTGAATTATCTTAAATTATTTTTATAATTATGAATATTAAATTTTAGAAAATATTTATTAATTTTTTATGAAATTTTATAAAAATTTATTTAATAAAAACTTTCAAACCAATCATTGAAATTTATTTAATATAAATTTTTTTTTATGAAAAGTTATTAATCTAAAATTTATTTAACTTGCATGGGGTCTGAAAAGGTACTCATATCCTCTTCTTCGGTGCAGTATCTGCAGCAAAATCTTAATTATAAATTTTCATCCAAAAATGATAAAATATTATAATATTTTATAGTTAGTTAATCCATATTCAACCAGGTAATATTTTTGGCTGAAGAAAGCAGCATGACGGCAAGAATCTGTTTTGCTAAAATGGCCTTTTTATCTTTTTTGACTGAGGATGAATAAATTTGGTTTGTGATTCGAGGTCAATACTTGGAATACATGGGATTACTGGACCCGAATGACGGATGGACAACACTCTCCATCATGCACCGTTACCATTGGTTGGTTCAACATGGCCGATGCATAACTCACTATGATTCTTTGCCCAAATAGTTCACTGTGATTCTCAAGATCATTTCATTATAATGAATATGCGAAGAAGAACTTATCTGATTTACTACAATGTTACAGTAAACATTTAGGATGTGATTGGGACATTTTGTTGATATTCATTTATCATTTTGTTTATTTTAAAATGTTAAATTAAATGTTTATTAAAAAATCACCTCTTTTCTATCATAATTCAACACTAAAACATATCTTTAGTGTATTTGAAAACCAATTAGAATCTCGTTAAATTACATTTATACTTGTCGCATTTTGGTAATGCGTTCTTTATCAGACACATTTATCTTATCTCTGCATCCTTTAACTTTTGCAGTTCAAACACAAGTATACAGCAACCTTAAATCAAGCGACTTTCATGAAATGACACGCCCTAGCACAAGCACATTTCGAGATCTAACGGGGAACATGATATCCATTTTCCAGATTATTGCCGCCCACAAAAATCACGCTGTTGAGTGTAGTCTTTTGGTTACTTGACCCAAAAACAAAAGTGAAGGTATTGGAGAAATCAGGAGCTAAATGGAAACATCTTGTTTGGATTTGCAGATTTATATCATGAACCCGAGTAAAATGGCCATTGTTAATTCTCATGGATCAGCCAAACAAGATGTTCAATAGAACATCACAACAATATCATAAAACAGCAGCTGCTCAAAAGATTGAAAAATATGCATAAAATAAAACCAAGTAGTGAAAGTACTATTCATCAATTCAAACATCTAATCTTACTCAAACAACAAATATGCAGTATATTAGTCCTCCACAAACAAGGCCAGGCAGTATCTACTAACTTAAGTACACCTGCCTGAAGTACAATACTGCAAGCAACATTTGCCCATTAATGGACATACAGGAAATATATAGGAAAACCACAATTCATTACAATCTAATCTTTTTGCTACCAAGCAAACCTACGTTTCAGACTCCCCTGGCAGTTTGATCCACCAACAATATCATCCTCCAACTAGATTAAAAGCTTAGTTGCTGCCTCCAGAACCCTGATGATATCATACTTAGGCTCACCTCAGTCTTTGCTCAAATGTTAAAAGGTTAAATGCCGATTTGGAAGGAATGGAACGGATCTATAAGAGTAGTATCACTTCAAGTATCAACCTTCTGGTTAAAACTAGTAGAGTCGCAGAGTAAGCACTGACAACTATCGTGTGAGAAGTTTGTATGAGGGTACATCTTCTAGCCTTGTTATGTCTTCAAGCAGAAGCTCTTTCTCCAGCTGACGACGCGTAGATTTCATTACTGTCTGTTATAACATAAGTAACATATGTTGGTAACCATTAGCAATCTTAGGAAACTTCTGTACTTAAATTTGCTGGTGCCATAATCTTTCCTTGTCTCAGAATAAATTCATAATAAAGAATACATACGTTAAAATCCATGTATGATGCACGCATAGAAAGCCATTGATGATCCATCAGCTTGAATGTTATGCAATAGAGAAGATCAAAAGCTGATTCATTTTCTGTCAGACACAAATGAATTTAGTTAGTTGAAACAGCAAGCTAACACACAGTGAAGACTGCCACTATCCAGTAAAACCTATAATCCTGTAAACACAAATATTTTCTTCAAATTGTGACATGAATTTTTTTTTATAAATCTAGTACAAATTTTATAGCAGCAACAGGAAGGAGAAAAAAGCAAAACAGTTAGAAAAAAGTGAGAGGTGGTGGAAGAAACATGCTTACAAAACCCTTCATATAAATCACAACAAATTTACAAAGTATTTTTCATAAAATTTAGTGTTTTTCCATTTTATTAGAGTCAATTTCTGACCTCCCTTCCAAGCTGAAGAAAACAAGTCAACAGATTAACTTGGGGAATAATAAAGGCTACCTGCAAGAAATTTTAGGAATGTTGCTCCCGCCAGTGTTCGGGGTTTGACTGTCAAGGCAAACAACATCATTAACAAATAAAATCATAATCAAATTCAATTCAATACTTGTGAAAGACATCTATCATGCAACAGTCTGCATAAAAAAAATCAGTTTCAAAGAGATCTCACATCATAGAATATAATTGAAAATATTATAAAGTTGGTAGCAAGCCATATTTTGGATAACAGCAGAGGACCCAGGTCGCATGATTGCATGAACCAAGAGAAAACAAAAAATTTAGTGGATGTAAAAGGTTGGCCTACGTCACTGGATTGGAACAACAAAGTAACTTCAACTTGGTAGTGTTCTATGAACTTGACATATCACAAAGGCAGAAACAAATGACCATGCATACAGGTATCCCCATTTCATCCTTTTACACATGAATATGCTGAGACTAGAAAATTATAGTGAGAGAAGTAATAAACCTGCTTCAAGATCCAGCATTTGAATAAGCATGAATGTTATGTTAACACCAGCAACAGCAAATGGGTATTCCCACACTGACCGGTCTCCTTCCTGCTTCCGTAAAAGATCTTGAAAGGATTTCTACAAAATGAAAAGTTAAAAGTTATATGATAAGGAGATATGAACAGCAAAGGACTTAAATTACAGCTTGACCCAACAGTTCTTGAAGGCAATCATAAGGCTTTATTCATAACAATCTAAGTGCAATGTTCGTTTCAATTTATTATGAATAAATAATTGCTTATTTTTTGTAAGCTTTCTGAAAGGGATTTAAAGCATCAACAAACATGCACTAAATCTAAACATTGATTTTGGTCAAGTACAAAATAAGGCTCTAATATATTTTTTACAACAACAGAAAGAGAGAACAAGAATAGGAAGAGATCATAGTATCATACTGGGAAATTCCTAGCAAAAAACAGCAAATTCTCCAATGATATGAAACCACCACCCCTACCAAATATATACAAATAGAAATCATCAGCAACAAGTTGTTAGACTGAAGACAATTTATGACAGCATTGAATGAAAACAATCAGAATAATATTTACCTAAAATCTGTTGATGGATCCTTCCCTTGCCAGCCCATGTCCTTCCACTGTTCAGAAATCAAGCCACTGAGTTCTTCTTCAGGAAATGCAGCATTCCATAAAGCTCTTAGGGCATCCTAAGATAAGGCATCAAAACAGATCTAAATTACAGTCTTGAGAGATGAAAGATTGCACATACGATAAGCCAAAGGCAGCACATAAAGCTGAGTTCATGGCTTAAATTCTAATAGTTGTTGTCATGTCACTCAAAAAGACTAGAAAAATATTAAGAGAAGGGATACCTGGTGCTCAGGGATAGAACTATCATATGAAACATCTATACGATTCTGTAGCCTCTGCAAGCATTCCTCCTGAGAATTGAAGATTCAGCACTGAGAGTTTTTCGTGCCATAATTATAAAAAATGTTTAATAGAAAGAATAAGTTGAGAGGGACATATTATTTTAATCTCAGAAGGTATACAACACGAGCAAACATTCAAAAAACAAACAAAACCCAACCATGTGAAACACAGGAGTTGTGCATGGCACTATTACAGATTCAGAGCACGCCATAAATTATGAACTGAAATTTTTTTGAAAAAGAGTGAAAATTTCCAAAAACAAGGGAAAAAGCACATAGCCTTAAATACAATTGAGGATTTTTCTCTTATTTGGTAAGAAAGTAGATCTTTCAACACAAAGTTTAGAAAAGGCTTTTGTTGTTGTTGTGAATAGTTTAAAACATGCATATCATTAAAGAAAAAATGAAGCTTCTTATCATTTATGACACGTTACTGTAAGAATTCGTTGTTTTTGTCCAGGAAGACACCCATAAGAAAAATTAACAGATTTACATAATGAGCATCAAACTGCATCTTCAGTAATTAAATCACTAAAAACATTACCTGGGCTGGAGTTAAATCAAAAGAGGGTCGGGCATCACTTTCTCTTCTCTGTGCACAGACACAAGACAACCCTCTGCCAAGCCATGCTGTTGATCCTGTCACAAACTCAGCTGTAACAAAACAAAACTGCCCATAAATGAAGATAGAGCTTCCAAATTTTGTGCCACAAATTTATAATAAGTCGATCCACAGAAATCATGTGTTTTTGTCAGTAATTAATTATGCTCAGGACGTCAAAACCTTAGTTCAGATCAGTCTCTAAAAGCACCCACCATATTCTAACCACAATTATTTCTTTATATCTTCCCTCATTCCTTTTCCTATCACTTTCCAAGTATAAATATTTTTGTTTTCTATCACTCGTATTCTTGCCAAAGATGAGGACAAGGAAAAAGGACAAAGCCAAGTAATCAAATACAACCACAGAGCAAAGTGGGCTTTTACTTTAATCATTATGCTAGCCACTGGTTTTGTTTCAATCATACTGCAACCCACCGGCTTACTTTACTATCAATTTTTCACTATTTCTGCACTCAAACAACTGAACTCAGCTTCACACTAAAATAAAAAGATATACAACAGTATCTGCAATTTGCAATATAGGTGCATTTCACGAATAATAGACCTACGAGATAACCCCGTAAATTAAGCAAAGTTAAAAGCTTATAACACTAAGATTAACATCTTCCATGGTAAATTGAGCTCCATAGAGATCTCAATCATGCTCAACTCTACCGAATCAAAAGAGAAAAGAAAAATATTAAAAAGTAATAGCTTAGTGAATTATGAATTCACCCACCAACGCAATTTTGAATATCCTCAAACATCACGCAAGTGAAAAACCTGAGTTCAAGCTCGATTCAACTACTATCGTGAAAGTGAGAGGGTTAAAAAGGAATCAAAGATTACAGAGAGAACAAGTAGGGAAAATCACGGGAAAGTTTACCAGAAGTTGAATGGCATGTGTTGCCTCGATCAAGACCCTGCGAAATCCTCCTAACGGCGACGAAGGAACCACCTCTATCGTCCATTTTTTCCCCTCTACTACAACAACGGTATCATCATCCCCAGAATCCTCCGTTTTCCCGGAAAACCCCACTTTCCCGGAAAAGCGCACAGTGAAGAATCCAAACGAGGCGGAAATGGAAATCAGTTCAAATGGCGGAAGGAGGAGGAAGAAGCGGTGGGAGAGGGCGAGAAAGATCGGGAAACGAAGAAGAGGTGAGAGTTGAAAATTTTCCCGGGAAACAAAGGGAAAAGGAAAGAAAAAGAAGAAAGAAAGAGAAAAGAATCTTTAAGAGAAGAGAAAGGGGTTTTTGGTTTGCAAGATCTGTGAGTAGAGAAGACAGTTACGACAGAGAAGATCAGTTGTTCGTTTTCTCTCTCTTAACGCATACTCCGTTTAAGGCCTTTCCCGAGACACACTACACACCCCCTTCTTCTGCTCTCCCCCTTTTACATGTGAAAAATGATTTTTTATATATAAATATTAAATTACTTTACACATTTTTTTTATTTAATTCTAAGTGAAAGTAAATTTGAGTATTTACTCATCTCTTTAGAATTAAATAAATCTAAATTCTATGTAAATCTAAAATAAAATTAATGGAAGAGCACACGAACATAATGTTAGGTTGTGTAAATACTAAAAATTAATGTGTTGTTATTTGGATTTGACATGCAGACATTAGAATGTGATAAATTATATAGTAAATCTCAATTTTATTTCATCTTTCAATAATATAAAAGGTTGTCTCATTGATTTTTTAAAACCAAGAAAAATGAGTTTAATGAATTCTAATTTAGATACAAATTTGATATAAAAAAAAAGACTAAATTAATGTCATTTTCATTGTTACTAATTAAAATTGGTGCAATAAGATCTTTTGCATTATTAAAGTGATTGCACTTTCAATTATTAAGAAACTGCGTTTATGAGAAAAATCATTTAAAAACCAAAATAATTAATGACATTTGTATCTTGAAAGACGAAAACGAGCATTTTCAGTAAATTATTTTAATTATAAAACTTGAATTTGTCTGAATCGTTAAATAACAAAAGATTACCATAGACGAGTACCAGCAGGTAAGAATTATTTTAACATATTTTATTTTATGGTGTTAAGTTCTCAATTTTGTTGAAAATATAGTTAAATATTAAATATTAATAAATGCTAATTAATATTCGTAAGATATTAATTAAGAAATTTAAAATAGAATTTTTTATTAAAAAATTATTATTGGTGTACTTTTATTTTTTTAAATCACTTAATTTTTAATTGGATTTTCTTAGGACATTGACAAAACTTTTCAATAAGATTAGTAATCTAATACTCTTAAGAAATTAATATATTTTATAGTCTTATTGAAAAATTTATTAATTCTATAAATTAATACATTTTATCAATAAACAGGGTTGTCTTAGTTTTGTCTCAAATATTACGAGATTTTAATCAAACTAAAAAATAATCTATCAAAAATTTTAAGTCAAATAAAGACAATAATAAATTGTCTCATGTAGACTCATATTTTTTATAATGTAATTAATGTTCCAAGTTAAGTGACTTTTTAATCTTTATATGATGGGGGGAAACATTAATTCTGAGGCTGGTTGGTCATTGTTTTGAATAATTTCTTAGTTTCCTTTTCTTACCAATAACCCTCTTCTTAGATGGCATTGTAAAACCCAACTAGAATGACATCAAGAATCTTAAATAGATTATTAACGTGACAAGCTTTTCTTTGCCGATTGTTTATGATTCAATAGTTTTATTATTAGGTTAAAGTTTTGAGATTTTCATTCATGGGCAGACCCAAAATTGAGTTTAAGGAATTCACTTTCCTTTCATTTCACAATAATATTGGGTCAAAGTTTTGAGGTCATAAAATGTTCATTCTGGTATCGATTTAAAAAATACGACTGTGCATAAGTGAAGATGCAAGAACCCTTTCAATTGACAGAACAGTGTATTAAAAGATAACAACCATAAAAAGAAGATATGAAGCATTTTAAAAAGTACTATTTGAAGGAGATTGGTTTGAAACCCTTAAAAAGCCATAGAATTAAAAAATTTACCATAGCCAAACTCAGTTTTGTTTTGAAAGTGCTTAAACTTTGTGAGCACTAGACAGCATCATGTGTCTGGGTAAGCTGGGGTCGACCATAATGCTCTCCAAGTTTTTGAAAACACAAGTCACATTCACATGGGATGTTGCCAAACCTTGGCCCGGCCATGATGGATGCAGTGAAGAGTTCATTTGGAAAAAAGTGTCCGTGGAGAGAGCTTTCCGCTTCACTAACATTATGATCTTCTATACCATTATTACTTTTCTTCTTATATTCTATAATTTTTATTAATAACTTTTAATTGCATAAAGTAAACTAAGGATCAAGATACGCCTTTTCTTGTTATGATTATTATCATTCAACCTTCAAATTAGTAATTTACGCAATCTCTTTTTATACCAATTCAACATAATTGGTTGACTCAATTAGATTCGATTTTGATATATTTTGTACTTTAAACATTCTTCTTCTTAGATTAGGAGATCGATCGTATACTGTCTTTTTTTTCAAGCATATAGATTAATTCCTCTCAACCCTCATGTACCTATATGTAAATAAAACTGTATTTTATCAGACTCTTGACAAATTATTGTTTTCTTATAACAAAGTTTCTTTTCATGGTTTTAATAATGTTACTATTTATGGATTTGTTTAAGTTTTGTCTTATTATATAAATAGATTAATGAAATTAAGATATCATATTAAAATTTATATCATATTTTATTTATATCTTTATAGATCAAATATCATTAGTCTACTTAAATATAGTTAATTATCTATGCAATTAATTTAAATAACGATTTTACTAATGGGTGTTTTAAAAACTCACAATAAAAAACTACGTATAATAATTTCTTTATTAAAATAATAAGATATCATAACTTTTTTTTGGTAAAGAGGAAAAAAAATAAAAAGACAAACAACAAATTTAAAATTTTATTAAAATTAAAAATTAAAACCTATAATTTTTAATAGAAAAATATTTTTTTACCGTACATTAGTACATATTAAAAAATCGTTTAAATAAATTCATTCTTTAAAGGTGCTTTTTTACAAGCTTAATAAAATTAACATGGTGGACGTGGATCAAGGTATTGTTTAACAATTAACAAAAAATTATTACGCATCATAAACGAGTTATGATACTCTAAGAGTTTGGTCCACACGCATGCATCTTCCAAGCCTCAAAAAAAGTTGCAGCCACTTTACGTGCGGGAGAATTTAACATGCAAGTACTCACTTTTTTTGGGTGCTTCACTTTTCGAAGACTACCCAGCATACTTGTTCTATCAATCTTGTTCTCGTTCCTTTGTTGTTATAATTTTCCTAAACATAATATTTAAAGCCAATATATGTGGTGTCGCTTTACATATTAATGCAAAATTTTATGTTGAATTGATATATAAGTAATAGCCATATATTTGTAATAACGATGAAGTCTTGAAATCTGAATGTTAATTAATTAATCTCAAATCTGACGTCGTAATCAGACTACCAAATTACAATTAGTAATATTATTCTATCATATATCTATTTTGCATTAAAAGATGCATAACATATTCACCACACACATACCTGTTTCACAAATCACAATCACAGATTCTCAACATTTTACAAAATTGCGTTTATTTTTATCTAAAAATGTGTTTTCAAATAACTTTAATATAAAATCAAAGAAAATATCAAATTCAGGGCTTAAAACTTAGGATAAATAATTAATAATAATAAAATTTTATTAAAAAAATATTTATTATAATTTTATAACTTTAATATAATAAATATGTATTTTTTAATATTTTTTATTAATAGATGTTTAAATTTAATTTTAAAACTGAGGTTAACAAAATCTTAAAATTAATTGGGATAAATAAGGTGCTGATGATCTCCAGCAAGAATATAAAAAGGTACCCATTTTTTTTTTCAATGCTTGCAGTCTACGCGAGCACATTTTTCTTATTCCATACTCGTATGTCGTCTTGCCTGTGGTCAAAGTATAATAAAAAACCGGACTAGGCCTGCTTGTACCACTATATAATTTCAGAAAATCAAAGGTATAAACATGATAGTATATATAATATATAGACCGTTTTGGCCTTTCGGCTGCATAAAAATGATCTCTTAAATAAAAAGAAATGACAAAGGTCATGGGACCATATCATCTTCCAAAAGCTCACTTGTCATGATTATACAAAATGAAAGATTATTATGTCGATGTGAGGTTTTCAAATTCCAATTTATTATTTCTCAGCACATATGATTGGCTTCTAATTAACTCGTGGGGTGTATGAGATTTTATCAATTCTCTTGTTTGAATGAAAATAATGAGAAGTTATATTTAATAATTATAATCATGTCAAATTTTGTTTAGCTGTTATAACGATGTTATGCCAGCAAGAACATAATTGAAGTTTCATGATGTTTTAATACTATATGTCAATGCAAACATTTTTTTCAATATATTAGAGAGTTATTATTAAGGGCTAATTCTCAATATCTCATAGATCATCGTTCGTCTAAATAATTTAATATAGGGTGAATAGTGTTATATTTCTACTATAATTCATGAGAAAATAATTGAAAAAGAGTTATACATGGGTACCCAAGAAAATAATCCATTTGAGGGTTTCTTGTTATTTAAAACAAAATTGTTTGCTAATCACAACGAGAAGACTTTTAGGTTATAGGCAATTTTGTTTTTCTTTTAAAGATAGATAAACATGTGTTGCATGTGGACTCTTTTTGGATGGTTGATAATAAAAGAGCTATGTGAGTATATTATCAATCCTCCAAGATGTGGCCACTGAGAAAGGTATGGAACTAGTGAGCACTAGCCCCTAATTTCTCTAAGCTTTTTTAGCCACTTTATCTGGTGGACTAATCACCTAAAAATTCAAAATACAGGTGCTATATATACCGGGCCTAAATATTCTAGGGTACTTAGCCATTAGCGAGTGAGCTATTTCATTGGTAATCATTAAGTTAAGGGATAATGGCTTTGTAACATCTCATTAAAAGAATGTCAACGAGCCTATTTAACAAGTCTCTAAGGTCAAAAAATAAGGAAGAAGGTTGAGTTATGCGTAACAGTCACAGAACTCATTTATAAAGAAACCAATTATATTGTTGGCGAGTTCCCACGTCCTATCCCTAGACTTCTTTATGGGTTTTAAGGTGCATAAGTGATGCACAGTTAACTTTCAACCAATTAATTAATAATATCAAATTTGAGTGGTTCGCATATACATCTTTAGAAAAGATACAATTGTTGAAATTATAATTTAATTCGTGGGTGGCAGATTTAAAACTAAAATAAATCAAGAAATGAAGGGTCTTACTATTTTGTGTTCTAAGAGTATTGACTAAGAAATAAATAAATAGTA